CTAAAAATTTTCGCCTGCGGCGCAAAAAATGGACGAAATCTGGCTTCTGAAGGTCTAAAATTTTCAAAATTTTCGCCTGCGGCGAAAAAAAATGAAAATTTTTGGCGCCGAAGGCGCCAAAAAAATTTTTGATTCCCCGAAATTTCCCCGTAAAAATTTTTCCCCCGTCCCCGTCCCCCCCCCCCCGTAAAAAATGAAAAAATTTTCCCCGTCCCCGTCCCCCCCCCCGTGGCGCTGACTCCCCGAAAATTTTCCCCGTGGCCCTCCCTCCCCGTCGGGGACCAACCCTATTGCCTTGATTCTGTTGAAATGAATCCTGCTGAACATCTTTCTTATTAAATAAAAATATTTAAAAATAAATTGACATGCTTTAACCATTTAAAAGTAATACAACAATTTACAAAACAAAAATTTTATCAATGGTCAATGAACACCATTATTTTAAAAAATATTTTGTTATCAAACAAATAAAATAAAATTTCCTTTTTCGTATTCTTAGAAGCAATTATTTTTCATTATTTCGACTTTATTCCAATAATTCCATCCAACTCTATCTTCTTCATTGCAAAATTCAAATCTCACTTTTGGATTGTAAATATTGGAAATTTGGTATTTTGTAGATATTTTATATGTATAAGTTGAATCATCAATTTCAACATTTTCTGCTCTTTCATTTAATTTAAAATTAGGATAATCAGAACACAAAAGAATAATTTTAGGCACCATATTTGAACAGTCTTTCGATGTTATTATATACTGAAATTTAAATTTGTTTATAATATCGTATTTGTGAACAACTTACTTCTATAATAAGATCATAAAGCTTTGCTAACTTGTAACCCTCAACCATAATTTCTAGTGTCTTATTGCCTTTATTTATTATAATATTGAATAAAATATTTTTATGGTGATCTTTAATGTCAACATTGTTTAAATTGATGTACAGATATCCAGAATTTGATATATGATTTAAATAAAATTTAAAAATATTCTCAATCGTCTTTTTGACAGCATATAATTTAACCTCTTGAATGTTAAATTGAAGTGAAATTGTTTTGTCATTATCAAATAATATATTAATCATTTCTGGATTAAACACAATGTTACAAAAACAAGCACGATCAAAAACACATTTAAATAGTTGTTGTAACCAGTAACGAATAGTAATCATTTCTTTAAGGTTCTTTGGGAGGTTTGGCAATTTCAAAATATAATCACTTGGATCTTCGTAATAGTCTAATTGAAAATAAATAATGAAAAATTTTTGGTCAATTGAGATTGAAATTTGCTCTAATTAATTATGGTCTAATTTGTGCATAAATTGACCAGAGTGGTCCTTTTACCTCTTTTTAGAAGGTTTTACCCTTGTTGACTCCGCCCTTTTTCAACATTGCCACTTTTTGCCTCTTTTTTACTTTTCACAATATTTTCGCCTGCGGCGCGGGAAAAGGAGGAAATCTGGCATCGGCACTGAAAATGGAAGAAATCTGGCTTAAGTTAAAAATTCTCAAAATTTCGCCCGCCCATTTTTATCGAATCTGAACATTCAGATCTTTTATGGGAATTCTTCGATGTCCAATCTGATCTTCAAACCGGTTTGGCAACCCTAATCTCTGTTATAACCAGATTAAAAAAGAAGGTGGAAGCAGTGCTCTTGTTGTTCTCTCGCACTTGCTCTTTTAATTTTAGGCCGGGATGGCTCAATTTAGTTAAAACTAGTTAAAAAAATATGCGAATAAGGCATTTTATTTGAAATTTTAATTATTTTTAAGTTTTAAAATGACGCACGTTTTTGCCCCATTTTTGCCCCTTTTCTGGGAAGCTTGCCCCTTTTTGGCAATTTGTAAAGGACCACCCGAAATTGAGTAAAATTAATTATTATAATTCTCTATATATTTTTAAAACCTGATTTATTCATACAAATAAATAATTTTTTGCTTGAATGTACAAACAATCGAGTTGATTTGTTTATCGATGCTTGCCACTGAAAAAATAAATGGATAATTTATTTAAAAACTAATTTAACCTTCTCCTTAAGTTGATCAGTTAAATTAAATTCAAAATTTGTAGAACGAAGATCAATTATTTTCTTTGAATATGCTAGCTGGTTTTTGCTTCTCTAAATTAAATTAAAAATATAATTAATTTAATGAATATTTACTAGTAAAAGTTCATAAAATTTCCTTCGTGCCAATTCTCCCTCATATTTGCTAATTAAATTGTAAAAGTAATAATTGGTTTGTTTAACAGAGATTAATTCGTTGAAATTAAGATATTTTAATATATGAAGTTGAACTTCAATTGGTAGAGAAATCATTTTAATTATCTAAAAAGGAACACTTGTTTAAAAAAATTCTAGTTGTATTTCAAAATTTATTAAAAACCACAAAATATGTAATATATGTCGGCGGCCAAATTACATTTCAGGAAAAATTGCATTTAATCGTGATTTAGGCCAAATTACATTCTAAATTTCTCTAATATTCTGCAACACACAATTTCTTTCTTTTTTTTAAATCTTTCTTTTGTATTCTTTACAAAAAATTAGACAACATACTATGTATAATACTGAATTTATTTGTTTTATAAATTAAAAGAAAAAAATGAATAAAAACATTTTGACCTTTTGTATTTATGTATATGCTTTTGTATTAAGTTTATTTACATAAAATTTATTGGAAAAAGGCGGTGCGAATCGGAATAAGAACAAAAATGTCATAGGTTAAAAAAGGAAATTTAAAATTTTCTAGCTTGTTAAAATTACCTTTAAATTTTAATTTATTTTATTTTTTATTATAATTTAGTTTTATTTAATTAAATTATAAAATTAATTAAATTAATTTCGAAATTAAAATAAATTAAAATTCTTATAAAATTTATTTCGTCTACATCCATAAAAATGTTAGCAGTTGTTGGATTTACGATTTCGAAATTTTGTGATTACAAAAATTTTCGCCGAGTGAAAAATGAATAGATATGGAGCTTGGTCTTCCAAAATTCTCGAAATCTTCGCTCCGGCGCTCAAAAATTAAGAAATCTAATCTACTTGAATTCTATGTAAAGTTAAGGAGGATATCAAGGGACATCCGAAATTTTCGATTTTCGAAGTTTTGAAAAATAATTTTGACTTCAGAAATATTTTCGATTTACGATTTTCAAACTTTTTTGTTACAAAACATCTCTCGTTTTGAAGTTGCAAAAACTTTTTGATCTTATTATTGATGTAAGTTTTTATGGTAACTTTTCCATTATCTCCGTTCTTGATTACTAAATGGTTAACAGATTCTTCGGCTCAAAACATTTACAAATTTTCAACTATGGAAATTTTTAAAGAACCCAATTTATACCAGACCTGGTCACGGATACTGATTTTGGTATCCGTATCCGGATATTTACGGCGGATACAGGCGGATATCCGCAGGCATCTTGATATTATCTGTATCCATATCCGTATCCATGACCAGGTCTGATTTATACATATATTTTTTATTTGACTCTTCATCTACATATATTTTAATATTCGTCTATATTTAACTTGCATCGAAATTATAAGTTTTGCCGCAAGTTATGACTTACGATAAAAGCTACGATTTGTAGATAAATTTATTTGCCAATCAAATGAAAAATCAAATTAAATTGGAGAAAAAATTAGAATTAAGCTTATATCGAATAAAACAGACGAGCTTTTTGATTCAAAGTCAGGATTAAATTTTAATTAGATTATAATTATATTTTTAGTTGCAGAAAAGTATTTTTGAAAGGTAAAAAAATGTTTATCAAAAAAGTCAAATTAAACGAGATATTAAACGAGACTTTTTGGAGCTGTCTGAACCTGGTCTTGAATTTTTAACTTACAGGAAAAGATACAACAATAATAATTTATTCCGGAAATATGTATAGGAGAAAATAAAAAAAATCAGGACGGATCCAATAGAGTACAATGGTAAAATATTTATAAAATAAACAGAAAATAACATCAATAAATTCGACTAATTTCTATATCTTCAATTTTGTGCCGAGTTCCCCAATATAAAATCGAGAATCTAATTTTTGGATTATATTTGTTCGCAATTTGGTATCTTGTTTGCAAATAACGCTCATCTACACGTGCCTCTTCGATCTTTTCAGCTCTTTCATGCAAAATAAAATTAATATTAAGACAAGATAATCCAATACAATCCACCATTTTTGAGCAATCTTTTGACGTTTCAATAAACTAAAATAAAAAATTGTATTTGGTAAAAGTTCGGGTTGTGACCTTTTTTCATTTCCCCCATAATTCCCTCAATCTATTTTTCTCTTCGTTTATTCTAGTGGAGGAAAAGGACACACAAAAAGATGACTTAGTTATACATAGTATTTCAAAACTGGTGACCTCATTGTCTTAGATCACCAGTTTTTAGAACCTAATCACCCAGGGATGGGCTGTCTTCCGCACTTTTCCCTCAGTTGCTTCCGTTTCCGCCTTTCCTGCTACTCAAGGCATTTACACTATCTGACTATAGGTTCTAAAATGCAGAGCTAGATATTTGTAGTCAGAGTAACTAATTTGGGAATTGTGGTTGAAAAGAAAACGGTAATTCCAAGGCTGGTCCCCCCCTTTTTTTCTGTTCCCCTGACCATTTTGTGCTTTTTTTCTTGGCATATAATTTTCAATATATCGTTCGAATGAGCTGTTCGAGCTGAGTAGAATGATACTATGATCGGTTAGATTTGGCGAATCTGAACAGATTTATGAAGCTAAATCCTCGAAGGACGTGCTTTTTGTGATGCTGAAAGGGATTAAAACAAATGCTCATAGCTATGTTTATTTAAGTCGGATTTCGATGAATCTAGTACCGTTCGACTCAGCTCGAAGAGCTCTTTCGAATGATATGTAATTTGCCATAAAAAGTTTAAAAAATCGAAAAAAATAGAAAGGAAAAAAAGGGGGGACCAGCCTTGGAATTACCAAGTAAACTTCTCTATTTGAACACCGATAACTCTTTAAGACTAAGTGACTAAAAACTTACATTCATAACAAACTCAAAAAGTTGTTTGAAATTCTTCGACCTTAATAGAACTGCATTAAACTTGTCTCCACTCATTAAAATTGTAGATAAAATATTTATAGTTTTTGTTTTGTCTTTATCCGGGCAAAAATTAAGTTGAAGGTAATCAGTAATAATCAAATGATTCAAAGCAAATTTTAAATTATCCCCAATATTGCAATCCAAAAACAGCCAAAATTTTTGAATATAAAATTGTTTAGCATTTCCAAATAATAATTCAATAACTTCTGGGTTGATTATAAAATCTTCAAAGCTGCCCCATTTAAAAGCACATTTAAATAATTTATTTAAACAATTATAAACAATTTTGATGTCCTCTTTGTTTGTAATAATTGTTGGCAGTCGCAAAAGATAAAAAGTTTGACAGAAACCTACAAAAATTTATTACTTTTTGAAATCTGTACAAAATATCAACGTGTCTGCCTAGCTTATTATGCTACTGCGTACGGACTCGAGAACTGTTGACTTCCGCGAGACGTGCAACAGTTGCGCAACATTGCTAATAGGTTGCGAGGCCTATGTGTCCCATGGGGGAGCCAAAATCAAACTTAAAAACGGGGAAGCGGCAAAAAGTGAAGAGAAATAATCAAAAAGGAAATTAACAATAATCCAATTTTTAAAGCAAAATTTAACCTTTAGATAAGCAAATAAAAATATAAGTATCTTTGACGTTTGAATTTTGAACAGGTAAATACAACGGAATTGGTTTTTCTAGTCCATTTTTCCACTAAGAAAGAAAGGATAAACTTGTATAGCTTTTTAAGTTAACCTTCTCTTCAAGTTGTTCTGGCAACGGAAAGTCAAAATTTTCAATTTCGAGTATAATTATTTTACGAGGAACTTCTCTGACTTCTTCAAGAATTTCGTTATCCTTAAGAGAAAAAAATTTTTTAAAAGAAATTAACTAAAAACCGTTGAACTAGAAATATTATAAAATTCCTCTCGAGCAAGTTTATCTTCAAAATTTTTAATAAAATCATAAAAATAAAAATTCGTCTGACTGATTGAACACAATTCCTTATAGTTGAGACATTTAAAAATATCAAGTCTTGTCTCGATTGGTAAAGAATAAAACATTTTCTTCTAAAAAATTTAATAGAAGCACTAAAAATTAAATTGAAAATTATTTAAAATTCTAAACAGTTTGTTAGGTATTAAACCCAAAAAGTCTTAGCACTAACAAAAGAATAAACAAGTAAGACAGTAACTAACTCTATAACGATATAAATAAACAATAACAATCTAGGCACAATAAGTATATTGTTAGAGATAAAATAAGTAAAAAATAGCAACAGAATCCTATATCTATTATATTATTTGGAAAGTTTTCACTTTGCATTTTTTAATCGTAAAAGTTGAATTTTTATCGAAGCGAACATTTTTGTGTTGAAAAGTAATAGAAAAAGGAAAGAAAGAGTTAATAGTAGAGAAAAAGAGAAAAACCAGTCGGCTGCTGTCTAGAGATCGGACAAACGGCAAAATCAAATATCAAATCAAATAATTTGATATTTGAAAATATTTGAAAAAATTTGATTTTTTTCAAAACTCATCAAACAAATATTTGATCAAATTATTTGATATTTGAAAATATTTGAAAAAAATTTGATCAAGAATGTCAAATATTTGATCAAATATCAAATTTTTTCAAAATTTTGGAATTACCTATAAATCTCATTATTAAGAGAATAATTAACATAATAATAATTAAATAACATTTATAAATCATATTTGTAATGAATCAATAGATTGAGGGAGATAGCTTGGGATTTTAGGGATTAAGGGGATTTAGGATAACATGAGATTTAGGGATTAAGTATTTTAAATCGTGGGGTAGAAAGTATATTGGTGATTAAGGTGAGAGGTTAATTCCCAGGTGAGAGGTTAATTCCAAGGTGAGAGGTTAATTCCCTAAATCCACACATATCCCGCTTAATATATATCACTATTCACAGAATTATCCCCTTAATCCCATATATACCGCTTAACCACCACCCGATATCTCTCCAAATCTCCAGATATCTCTCCAAATACTCAGATATCCCTATTAATACACAAATATTATTCACATATAAGATATTCCGTTAGGGATATCAGCTGAAATAAACATTTGTTAGAACACAGCTCTACTAAGTTGCCTGTTGTTAAACAAGCTTCACCAAGATATTCTACACTTCTAAAATTCCTACAAAATTCCTCGAAATCCCTCTATCGCATTCTCTATATCATTTAATCTATATGTTAAACTGGATATAACTTAATGTTATATTCGATAAATATCCTGAAAAACCCCGGGATTTAGTACTGGGAAAAAATTCTTTATTTTTAAGACGCTATAGGGGAGGACCTATAGCGCCGCAGGCAAAATTTGTAAAAAATATGGTGCTAAATTAACAATTTTTCACCATTTTCTAACCAAAAAGTTGAATTTTTGGGAAAATCAAATAATTTTCAAATTATTTGATATTTGATCAAATATTTGACTTTTTTTTACCTCATCAAACAAATATTTGATCAAATTATTTGATATTTGAAAATATTTAAAAAAATCAAATTTTTCCAAAAACTCATCAAACAAATATTTGATCAAATAAAATCAAATAAAATTTGATCAAATATTTGATTTTCCGACGTCAAATATTTGTTTGGTCCGATCTCTACTGCTGTCAGAGTATTTTTCTGTTCTCTTACACAGTGAAACATTCTTTTCTTTTATTGTTAGAGAAAAATAAAAACAAGAGGTGAAATAAATTGGTCGTAACATTGATCACCGAGGCTAAAAACGTTCAAAGGATCGCTACGTTTAAAAACGATTAAAGGATCGGCACTGGAAAAAAGTATTAAAGTATCGGCACGGGAAAAAAGTATTAAAGGGTCGTCACGGCCAAAAAGTATTAAAGGGTCGTCACGGCCAAAAAGTATTAAAGGGTCGTCACGGCCAAAAAGTATTAAAGGGTCGTCACGGCCAAAAAGTATTAAAGGGTCGTCACGGCCAAAAAGTTTTAAAGGGTCGTCACGGCCAAAAAGTAGTAAAGGGTCATCACGGCCAAAAAGTAGTAAAGGGTCATCACGGCCAAAAAGTAACAAAGGGTCGCCACGGGCAAATAGTAGTAATGGGTCGTTATTAAAGGATTGTTCATCAAAGGATCGCCGAAAAAAGAAAATAATACATGAAAGAGAATTAAAACTTAGCGTCTTACTCTTTCAAAATTTTAAATGTAAACAACGAGTGCCTTGACAAAATGGTACACAACAACAAGGTACAAAAGACCTAATCAGTTTAGATAGTACAAAAGACATAATTAGAGTAGATAGTACAAAAGACCTAAACAGTTTAAATAGTACAAAAGTTCTAATCAGTTTAAATGGTACAAAAGACCTAAACAGTTTAGATAGTACAAAAGACCTAATTAGTGTATATAGTACAAAAGACCTAAACAGTTTAAATAGTCAAAAGCCCTAATCAGTTTAAATGGTACAAAAGACCTAAGTTTAGATAGTACAAAAGACCTAATCAGCTTCAATATTTAAAGATCTAGCCATGTTTAAAAGTTCACAAACCTAATCAAACTAAAAGTACGTTTAGTCTTTTAAAAGTATAAATAGCCTAAAACTTTGAGCATATTGGGTTAGAAAGGTTTAAAAAACATTTTAAAACTCATCTTAATAGTTTTTGGTCTGCGGCCGCCGCGAGCTAAGCAAGCACGGCCGTTACGAAGCACTGGAATTCTGGGGACACGCCTAGAAGGTCCGAAGAAATGGCAACATAAAGACAAATCTTGCTTCAAGATTTCCGATTTTTATCAAATTTGGTATTAAACGATTCCGCTAAACGATCTTTAAACGATATTCTTTAAATGATTGAACTAAATAGATCGATGCCAAAATTAATACGGAACAAAAATTTCGGGGATTTATAGCCTTTTGGGTGTAATATCAAAGATTTTGGGTTTTATAGGGATGCAAGAACTGATGGTTTGTGAGGTTAGTTAGGTTATGAGGGTTTTCAGGATACTAAAAATTAAAAAAATATAGTGATGTGTATTTAAAAAATCCTATATATAATTTGTGAATGGAAGGAAATTGTTTGTTTGTTTGGGATTGTCACACGGCTACTGCTTTTATAGTAAAATGATTTGGGGAGTGGGGAAATGAGGGCTTTTATAGTAAAATGGTTTGGAGAGTGAGGAAATAAGGGCTTTTATAGTAAAATGATTTAGGGAGTGAGGAAATAAGGGCTTTTATAGTAAAATGATTTTGGGAGTCTTTTGATAAAGTTGATGTAGCAAAGTTTCCCCAAGCTTTTAGATACAGTTTTTGATGCTCTTTCGAATAAGCTATCAGGGCTGTGCGCCAAAATTTTCGCGTGGCGCGCCAAACGCCAAACGCCAATTTTTCAAATTTTAAAAACACGCCAAACGCAAAACGCCAAAAATCGGCCAAAATTAACGCCAAAACGCCAGACGCCAAACGCCAAAATTTTTATAGTCTATAAAGACTCAAAAACCTCTTTTCATCTCATTTTAGCGCCGCAGGCGAAATTTTTTTCATTTTCAAGATTCCTAGAAGCTAGAATTCATCCTTTTTTACCGCCAGATGCGAAATTTTGAAGAGTTTTTGACAATTTTTTGAATTAAGTAAGACCAGGAAGCAGGCCAATGGGGGAGAATTCCTATCTCCCGAAATGAGGAAAAGGAAAAAATTTGGGTAGAACCCCGTGAGATTAAGGTGGATATGAAGACAAGAAGTGGGTAATAAGAATAACATAGGTCTTGAAGTGAGTAAATGGTTGATGATGAAGTATTAGTTTTAGATAAGACCATGATGGAAGTATTATTTTTAGATAAGAGCTCCCTACTTTAAGCGCCGCAGGCGAAAATTTTGAAAATTTTGGAAGTCCAAGCAGTACATAGATTTCTTCATTTTTATGCGCGGCAGGCGAAAATTTTGAGAATTTTGGAAGACTGTAAGCAGAAAAATTTCCTTTCTCGATCGTCCCTTCTACCAATTATTTTATAAAATTCCCATCAATAGGGGTGTATATTTCTGGCGTTTGGCGCGCCAAAATCGGAAAATCACGCCAAACGCAAAACGCCAAAAATCGGCCAAAATTAACGCCAAAACGCAAAACGCCAGACGCCAAACGCCATGACGCACAGCCCTGTAAGCTATAGCTTATGAGGAGGGTCCTTAAACTCATTAAATTACCTCACTGAGTTTTTGGTCACTCTATAAGTGCATTTGTTTACTATAAAAGCAAATTAGTCATTCCATACTCTCATCTCTACAAAAACAACAAAATAACGACAACATTACGACCGACAATAGCAGCAACTTCCAGGTACCTGGCTGTAGCGAACCCAATCTTAATCTTATTTTAGTGTTATAAGCCCCAAGGATTTAGATATTGTTTTAGATGCTTTTTCGAATAAGCTATGGCATATGAGGAGGGTCCCTAAACTTGTCGAGTCATATAAAGTAAGATATTTGTTAAAGAGAAGTATGGAGAGTATCAAAGGAAATGGTTTATTCATTCCATACTCTCCTTTCTACAACAACAACTACTTTATTCATCAACAACAACCAACTTCCAGGCGCCTGGCTGTAGTAATGTTTTGAACTTAGATATTTAAAATAAGTTGCCGCAAGCATTTTAGATGCAGTTACTGGATGCTCTTTTGAATAAGCTATAGCTTATGAGGAGGGTCCCTAAATGATTGAGTTATTGATAATTGATAGTGTTAAGACGATTAATTAATCATCATATAGATTTAGAATATAGAAAATGCAGTATTTATCGAAGTCTGCTGAAGTGCAGAAGATAAAGCAATTCACTAATGAAACAGACGGGAAGAGGAGAATTAGACTTGAAAACTGAAGAAATAGAAATTGAGATTGTAATTGAATTGTACATGCTTAGGTTAAAGGTTTTAGCAAGGTTTTGTTTATGTTTGAGAATTGTACATGCTTAGGTTTATGTTTAGGCTAGCGAAGGGGCTCGCCCGTAGGGCGAGCTCCTTCGCTAGTAAATATAAAAACAAAATAACTAAAAATATAGTGATTTTGGAAGCTAAAGGTGAAATTGAGGAATTATGAGGTATGGATTTCCCGATATAGGTATATCGGGAATTTGGGTTTAGAGTTTGCCAACGTTCCGAGTTTAAGTTATTATTTTCCGGAGTGATTAAAAGGGATAAATGTTTTTAGTGAGTTAAACGCGTTGGGAACCAACAGAGATCAGGAAATTTGGGCGGATTTGTGGCGACCTCTTCGAATTTTGGATAGTTTAAAAATATCGATTGATTTAAAGAATTAACAGACAAAACAAGGTTTACGAAGGTTAAACTGAATATCAGGAAATTTATAGAGTTAACTAGGGATTCGGTGAAATATCATAAATAAAGAGGGAACTTCGTTTCTATTGAATTGTTCATAAAAAGAAATATCGGGTGATTTCGATGAGAACAATTATCTGAGGGGATAAACAGATATCAAGTGATATTGTTCGGAAATAATTGAATGATCGAGAGATTTGGATGTCGAGAGATCGGGAGATTTCTAGGGATTTGAAAGTTCAAAAATATATGGAGGATTTGAGGGATTTTTTGAAAAAATAATTCGGGGTGAAATATCGAATGATTTATTGGATAAATATTAAAACAGAGTTATCAATGGATTTGTTGGATTAATAGTGTTATATAAGGAAATAATCATCAAAGGTTTCGGGGTTCAGATAACAAGGATTCAAGGGAATTAAGAAGGAATTAGTAGATTTGAATGTATAACGTAGAATTTGGAGATCATTAGAGGAGGTCAAGTAATTTGAATTAATAAAAGATAACATGGGATTTTGCGAATTACTAGAAAGATGGATCTGAAGAAAATGGTGATGTTAATAGTTTTTGAAGGATTGGAAGGAAAATTAACAAGGGATGAATGTGGCTGAAAGAGATATCATGTGATTTGGGAAGATTTGGGGAATTTAGAACAAAAGAGAACAATGTATTTGGAGTGAAATAAGGATTTCAGTGAATTTGATGTTTTTCAAAAAAACGATGTGAATGGAAAGAGTGTTATCAGGGAATGCGCTGGATAAAGGAATTTGAGCGGATTTGGGGGTGAACGTAAGGTGAGTGATCAAGATTTTTGAAGTGATTTGACGAAAAACAGAGATCAATCGATTTGCAGCAAGAGGGATATCAGAGAATTTGATGTTTAACATTAGGGTAAGCATTTAAAAACGTTGGAGATTTAGCAGATAGATAAGCGATTTGAGTGGATTTGAGGAAAACGAGATTAATTAAAAAATTTAAATATAGTAGGAGAAACATGAAACTGACTAATCTCATATTCATACATATTGTGGATTAATATATTTGGAGCTTCCGGGATAAAAACAGAGAGATTAAGTATTTGAGGGGATTAAAGAAGTTGGGGACTAATAGAAAGATCAAAGGATTTGAAGATATTAATGAATTTGGGGGTTTTCTGAGATAGAGAAAGTTGAGAAAATTAAGGGCGATATCGTGAAATTTGGGGAAATTTGAGTGTAATAATATTTTATCATTTGATTAGCGCCGCTGGCAAAAATTTTGAGAAATTTAGAAGCACATAAGCCAAAAATCTTTTCGAGCAAATATTCAAAATTTTCAAAAATTCGAAAATCGAAAATATTATAAAATTTCCGAAAGGAAAAAACCTCGAAAAGGACATTTCGTAAAAAAAACTCTGCAAGGGCAACATAAAAAGGAATGCAAAGATTTCAGATGAAAATATTATTTTGGAGATTTGAGGAATAAAGTTGTAACAGAGAAATTGGAGTCTAATAAGTGCTTCGGGAATTTAAGTGATCCAAAAATATTAAGGATTTAGAGGATAAAAAGATGTATATATTCCAAGTTTAAAAGTGTGATTGAACAAAATTAACAGTTTAGGTGATAGAACACTCCAGAGATTGAGGAATAAGGGCCAGTTGAAAGGGTAAGAAGATAAGATTAGTGAAGCGTCATAGGTAGAGACAGGGTCCGTAAAGCCAAAGGAAACTAACAACCAAAATAAGTTTTTCAAAGTCTTTTAGAAAAGTTAGTATAGATAGAATAGGTTTGGTACTCATATTAGGGGAAAACTGTTATTAGTGGATCAGTGGAATCGGAGGATTTAGGAGTAATTAAGGGTTAAAGTTGGAAAAAAAGGGTGATATCTGGGCATTGATAAGTACAGAGTCGTGTTATTAGAAGTGGGTATCGGAGAATAAAATGATAAACAGGAATATTATGGGATTTGCAGAGATTAATAGAATCGGATTGGAAATAACGCAGGGGTATGTCAGAGAATTTTGGAGATAAAAGGAGATATCAGGGATTTAGGGAAATAAGGAGTTTTCACGTGGATTTGGTGAATGATAAATGATATAAGAGCGAAAAAGGTATTTCGAAGATTTGGGGTGAAAAGTGCCGATACATGGGAATTGCCAATGATTTATCAGAGAATTTTGGGAAAAAAGGGTAATAACAGAGATTTGGGAGATTGATGGGATTAATATTAGAGGATTTTGGATAAGGATGATGGTGAGTATAAAAGATATCTGCGGATTTTTGCAAAAAAGATAATATTTGAGATTTGGGGATAAAGGGGGTTACCCGGGATTTTGGGTAAATAAAAGCGATATCAATGGTTCTGCGGGCTAAAAGGTCGACACTGAGGTAATGTGTATTAAAAACGGCACAAAGAGATTTTGTCAACGAGCGAGATGTGAGGATTCGATTATAGGGAGTCTGTTAAGAACATTAGAAGGTATAATACGAGCGTTAGGACGCTGGTTTAATTTTAGAATTGTTGTCTGTCTGTCCGCAGCTTTAAATTTTGCTGTGATTGGCGTTGTGTTTATTTTTTAATTAAAAATGACAAAATATCCCAAACAGAAAATAGTGTGTCTTTAGAGAAGTAAAGAAAGAATGAATTTTTAAGAATTTGTTTTGTCTTTTTTTTGGATTTTTTTAAATTTTTTTTGTTTGTTAATTATATTTAGGATGTGTTTTGATTGTTTTTTAAGATTTGTTCTATTTAGAAAGAAAAATAGAGTGTATTTAGGGAAGTAAAGAAAAATGTGAATTTTTTAGAATTTGGTTACGAATCTACGTTGCCTGGGTATTATTAAGAAAAAAAGGGATGGCGACATCTAATAGATTTCAGTCAGAAAATTTGAAGATTGTATATCGGTCTTAAGTAAATTTCGCGCACACTTTTAAGTTTTTGCTAAAAATTTTTGGGTTGCAATTGTAATACAATAAAAAAATTTACAGAAAAGGTAGGTTGAAAGCAGAGCTATTCAATAGCCAAAAGACTATTTCATATTTCTATAAAGCTATAGAGAAAAGTAAGGTTAAAGACAAAAATTCAATCGGTCTTAAGTAAATTTCCGCCACTGTAGGTCTGACAATGCTTGGAGTAATGGATAGCGAAAATGGTACCGTAAATGGGTGAAAAGGTTCTGACAATAGTGGGAAGAGATTTCGAGCAACAAGCAAGAGAAGTGTCCGTTAAACGGCGTGAGAAAAGTATTCTTCAATAAACAAGATAAAGGAGCCCGTCAATAGAAAAAAGAATATAGTGTTCAATAGGCTCGAGAAAACGGTCCCACAATGAGTGAAAAAACGGTAAGGACGGAGATAGATGAGTGACATTGTTAATAGTTGAAAATTGATAGTTAATAGTTGAAATAGATATTAATAGTTAATAGTGAAAGTTGAAAATCTTAGTTAATAGCTCGCCCTTCGGGCGAGCCCCTTCCGCTAGCCAAATTCTAAACATTACAATTCTAAACATTATCAACTATTAACTAAGATTTTCAACTTTCTCGAGCCTATTGAACACTAATAAATATAGAGCTTTTGATTATAACTTTGGCGAGCCCCTTCCGCTAGTAATTTTAAAAGTTGTTTTAAAAATTAAAATTTAATTTCGTCTTTTGTTATCGGGTTTTTTTAGTTTTTCACTTCCCAAATGAATTTTCGTCCTTCAGACTTTCGACTTTTGTATTTTTTAATGCTTAAATAAATATAGAGCTTTTGATTATAACTTTGTACAGTAATTAATAATTTTTGAGATAATTTTCGTTAACTTTAAATTCCGAAATCAAGCTTACCTAATTAAACTTTAATACAGAATCAAATTTTTAGATTCAAAAGTATTTTCAAATTATGATCAGTGTTTTATTAAAGAAACAAAATATAATGATGATGACTTCAACAATACAAGTATGGAATGTTTAATTTGTTTAATTTTAATGAATCTCTTTTTTCCCTTCTAATTTAGTATATTGTGTTTAGAAACGGAAAGAAAAAATTGGAAATTTTTAGATAAAAAAGATTTAGGATAATATTCGGATTAAGTGTCCTAAATTCTAGATTAAGAAATATTTGCATTAGTATTTTCTATTATGAGTAGAGACAGGATTAGGAGGGTTGTACTAGGATCGAGTTTCGGCCAATGTTGCTCTCGATAAACGATATTTTTGTTCGAGATCTTTTAATCTGGTTTCTAATCATGAGTGGCTCTTTCAAAGACGTTAAATTAGAAAAAAAATTTAATTTTCAGCTTCATCCTATTCAAAAGTTGAAAACAAATGCCATGTTCCAAATGTTACTTTTAGTCTGAACGACGCAGTTAACAATGCCACTTTTAATTGGGCAGTTGTTATTGCTGTTGTTGGACTTTTATTTGGAGGCCTTAAAGGAGCAGTTATTGGAACTGTTCTCGGAGCTGCCGTTGGTATTGTCCTTGGAGGTTTTGTCTACGTTTGTCATTCTATCGACAAAGTTTGTGTTGCCGTTATTAATACAAGTGAAGATGTTAGTAGAACACTTGTTGATGTTAGTATGGCTTGCAAAGCTGCAGAAAATGTTTGCAACTCTATTCAAAACCCATACAAAACTATTTTTGGTGGAATGCACAAGTGTGTTTCCAATGCATGGACTGCCTTGAGTATTATTACTGGAATAAAGAGTGGTGTTTACAGTGTTTCAACAGCCTTAACTATTGCTGGAGGAATAAAAAATGGTGTTACATTTGCTTGGAAGAACTTGAAGGGATGGTTTGGTGCTTAATGACAAAAATTAATAAAGATAAAGAATATCAAAGATCTTAATTTTTAATCGTAATTTATTTTAATCTTAATTCTTATTTTATAAGCCTTTTTGAATCGTATTTACATATGTAGTAAAATTAGAAATTAAGGTAATTTTTAAAATTGAGAATTTTTAAGTTTGAATACTTGCACAATTTTTATAATGACACTTCATGATTAATAAGTAAACAGTATTTGGTTTTTTCGCCAATAGTCTTCCAGAATTCTCAATTTTGCTTTCGGTGATAAAAAAAGTGAATTTTCCGTGTATTTGGCACAAAAGATTTCAGAATTTTCTGTTATTTCTTATACGATTTTTTGGTACGATATCAAACGAGGTTTTGGTACAAGGTCAAAAATAGGCGGAGTACAAGAAAATATAAAAAATCCTCATTCTTCAAAAGACCACAAAAATCCGCATTTTTAAAAATAATCCTTATCGACCTATCAAAAAACCACAAAATGAGGAAAAATCCGCAGAAATCGAAGCCCAGTTAAAAAGTAAAACAAAAATTTTTATCAATAGTCAATGAAGACCATTAATCCAAAAAAAATATTTTGTTATCCAACAAATCAAATAAGATTTCTTTTTTCGTCCTTCATATATTCAATTCTTTTTCATTATTTCGACTTTATTACAAAAAGTCCATCCACCAATATCTTCTTCAAAGCAAAATTCAAATCTCACTTTTGGATTGTAAATATTGGCAATTAGGTATCTTGATTTTATCTGGCGGAAAAAGTCAGGTGAGTGCTGCCAACTGAGAGCGGGTCAACTGAGTGCGGCCAACTGAGAGCCCCTATAAAAGGCCAAATGAGTGCCAGTAGTTTTAATCTTCAGAAAAATACTAGAATATTTTTTTTGCACTTTTTACGATAAAAGAATATTTTAAGTGCCCGCCGAGTTGACTTAAAACTTTTCTTGATTTTTTCAGTTTTAAGTTGATGGTCTCGATTTTTTCTTCAAGCAAAAAATTAATTTAAAAACCGTGTCAAATAGTTAAAAAAGTTATTGTTTTCATTTCCCCTGTTAAATTTGTGCCCTAAAATTTAAGAAATTAAACCCTCTAAAAATAAAAAATAAATGAAAAAAAATAAATCAGTAAAAATACAAAGAAAAGAAAGATAATAGTGAAAAAAAGCAAAAACAACCCGGAAAAATTTTTTCCGAATCTTAATATTTAATAGAAGGTCTTTGTACTCAGTAGAGGCTCACAGTTGGCTCGTATAAGAGGCTCTCAGTTGGCTCGATCTCAGTTAACTCAACTCTCAGTTTCTCGCTCTCTGTTGGCAGTTCTCAGTTGGCGCACTCACATGACCCCATCCGCTAGCTAAATAATCTGAATCATCCATTTCAACATTTTTTGCTCTTTCACTTAATTTAAGATTAGGAAAACCAAAACACACAAAAATAATTTTAGGCACCATATTTGAACAGTCTTTCGATGTTATTATATACTAGATAATAACATGTTATTATATACTAGATGACTTACCTCTATAATAAGATCATGAAGCTTTGCTAACTTGTAACCCTCAACAATAATTTCTCGTATTTTATTGCCTTTATTCATTATAATATTGAATAAAATATTCATATGATCATCTGTAATGTCAACAGGGCATAAATTAATGTAAAAATATTCAGAATTTGATAGATGATTTAAATAAAATTTCAAACTATTCTCAATTTGTTTTTTTGTGCTAGCAGATAGAAACATATTTATAATATTAAATTGAAGAGGAATTGTCTTGTCATTATCAAATAATATATTTATCATTTCTGGATTAAATACTCTTCTAATAAAATCAGCACGCTCAAAGTCACATTTAAATAGTCGTTCTAACCAGCAACGAATAATAATCATTTCTTTAAGGTTCTTTGGGACGTTTGGCAATTTCAAAATATAATAACAGGGATCTTCGTCAGCTAAATGAAAACGAGTAAAAATTTTTTTTGATCAATTGAACTAGCAATTTCCGGTTTAAAAAAATTATAGTCTAATTTGTGTATAAATTGATTAAAATTAATTATTACATTATAATTTTATATATATTTTTTATAACCTGTCTTACTCATACAAATAAATAATTTTTTGCCAGAATGTGACAACAATCTAGTTGATTTACCTATAGCTACTTGCCACTGAAAAAATGAATGAATATAGTGTAGTTACCGTGGTAAAAGTTCGAGACGTGACATATGCCTTTCGAAAGAGCTCGGCGAGCCTGAGAGTCTCCAGAATTACATATGCAATGTCCCGAACTTCTACCACCGGTACAATACACTCAGCCAAATAAATGTATAATTTAATTATAAATTAACTTAACCTTTTCCTTAAGTTGATCATTTAAAGTAAACTTAAAATTTGTAGAACGAAGTTTAATTATTTTATCTGAACATTCTGTCTCTTTTTTGTTACACTAAAATAAATTAAAAATATAATTAATTTAATGACTATTTACTAGTATGAGGCCATAAAACTGCATTCGTGCTAATTCTCCCTCATAATTGCTAATTAGTTTAAAAAAGTAAGAATTAGTTAGTTTAACAGAGATTAATTCGTTGAAATTAAGATATTTTAATATTCGAAGTTGAACTTCAATTGGTAGGGAAATCATTTTGATTATCTAAAAAAATACGCACATTGTTTAGAAAAATTCAAGTTGTATTTCAAAATTTATTCAGAACAACAAAATATATGTTTTTAATTTTTTTCTGTCCGAAATATTAAATAAAATTAGAATTTAATCTTATCAGTTAAGTTTATATTTATTGGAAAGTTGGTATTTAATTTAAAAAATAATTAATTTCATTTTCGCCTTGATATTAACCTAAATCGATAGAATTAGGTAATCTATTTACTATATCAACCACTATTTCTGACATGAGTAATCTTTTGCAGTTTACAAAAAATTTAAACATTGTTGTTGAGAACTCAAACAATTCAAAGGGGTTGGGAAATGTTATAAAGTAATTTCTTAACACACCACACTTCCTCTCTTTAATCATTTTTGTTCCATATTAACTTTAACTTGGGTAGAATTAGAATTTTTTTAATTTTCAATACTACATACTACATACTATTTGATAAATATGTATTCAATAAAAATTTAGTAAAAACGAGGGATAACGATTTTTTCTAATAAAGATAGGTGAATGATAAAATGGAAAAAACCGCAATTCAAAATTAGCAAAAATTTTTAAATATTTTTTTTTATTTCCAAGATATTAAATTTTCTCTGAAAAAATGTTTAATTCTTTACCAACGGAGACAAAACTTGATATTTTCAAATTCCTCAGTTATAAAGAATTATATTTAATCAAACAAACGAATTTATATTTTCGTGATCTTATTGACAAATATGAAGGAGAACTTGCTCGAGAGAAAGTTTATACAATACATTTTGTAATACATAATGCTTCTTAATTAATTAAATTTTTAAATATTTTTTAAAAGGATCACACTATCAATCAATTCAAAAAAGATCTTCACAGATTAAATAAACCAAAATCCAAAAATTTAGACTTTCCATTGAATGAACAACTTGAAGAGAAAATAAATAAATTAAAATATACAAAGGGTTTCTGTCCTTTTTTGAAGAAAAATGGACTAAAAAATCCCATTCCTTTCTATTTACCTTATCAGAATTCGAAGAATATTTTTAGTCGTTTATCTAAAAAAGGTTAAATTTTATTTAATAAATTTTCAAGAGGGCACGGGAACTTGAGGCCTCGGAGTGGATTTTTGGTTTATTTGAAAAATATCACAAAATTCTCTGGAATGACTATTTTTGTGCTGATACTTAGTATAACATAGGCCTACTTATTCAATTTAGGCCTACTTATTGTTGCTTGTGAATAAGTAATACCCTGAAACTTTTTATAGATAGAAACTTTTTCGGATAGAAACCCATGAAACTTTTTCGGGTTGGGGAATTTTTGTATGGACATTCACTTCTACTTTCTTTATGTTGATTATAGCATAAAAAAAGCCTCCATATTCCCTTTCTACGTGGAAAAATTAATATCTGACGCTTGTATTGTAAATATTGGAAATTTCATGATAGGCATATTTCATATCATTTATTTGTTCAATTTCAACTTTTTCTGCTCTCTCACTTAATTCAAAACTTGTTTGATTTGAATATTCAATCAAAATATAAGACACCATTTTTGAACAGTCTTTAGATGTTGCTATATACTAAAAATTTAAATTTTTATTTTTATGTATCTTTTATGAAATACCATATTTTCTCTAAAATAGCACACGGGGTTATTTTTTTCGATCGACCTCTAGAGGGGGGCTATTTTAAAGAGAGGGGGGGGGGGTTATTTTAAAGGGAGATTATTTTAGAGGAAATTGTAGTCACCAATTTGAATCAAAATATGACCTTATTTGAGGCCTAGCATAACAAGTTCAAACAATTTACCGAGTTGCCCTCCATCCTTGATATTTCTTTTAATCAACACAGATCCACAAATATCTCTCCTAATCCACCACTTAGAGAAAAACGGTATCTTTCCAAATTCAATGATATCCCTATTACTACTTCGTAATCCCTCGATATCACATCCACACCCATCTATATTCACTTTAATACCTTCACATACACTGATATTATTCTTAATCCACCCAAATCACTCGATATATCTTTCGAGGATAGAAAAACACAATGCAAAAAACAATTTTATGGGTGGGGGCTGCAATTTTAGAGGGGGTTAAGGGTATTTTAGAGCCAATGCGGTAACTTACTTCAACAATTTGATCATAAAACATTGGCACATTTATAGCACAATCTAAATTTTCTGTGAATTTAGCAAACCTCAAATAAACATCTTTAAATTTGTCTCCATTTATTAAAATTTTAAATAAAAGATCTTTATAAATTTTAATATCCGCTCTATCTCTAAGAAAATTAATTATAAGAGTTTCACTAATTAAATGATTCAAAGCAAAGCTGATTAAATTTTGAATATTGTTTTCCACAATAGCCATATAGCACGTTCGAATATATAACTGTTTGGAAATTACATTATCTCCAAATAATAATTCGATCAATTCTGGATTAAACACAAATTCATCAATATAGCCATATTCATAACAACAATTGAATACTTTATTTAAATAATAATAAACAATTTTTAAGTCCTCTTTGCTTTTAATTATTGTTTCTAATTGTAGTTGCCGGTGATTTGTAATGTCGCTAACTGAAAAGTTAATTTAAAGTAAATCTAGAAACTTTTTGAATGTCCATACAGAAATTCCCCTATCCAAAAAAGTTTAAGGGTTTTCTATAAAAAAAGTTTAGGGGTTTCTAACTAGAAAAAGTTTTAGGTGCATAATAAAATCACAACCCACATTAAGTAGGCCTATGTTACTGCTTAGTTCCGAAAATTTATTTAGGCTAATTTCGGAGTTCTGACTTTTGAGCCATTTCCGAAAGTTTCAATTTCTGGCACCTTCGTAATTTCCGATTCACCTCTGCTGCTTACTAAACCAGACATTCGTTCTTCAATAATTAGTTTGCAAATATTTGGGTTAAGTTCCAAAATTTTTCTTGTTGCAGACTGAGATGCACTTGAAAATTTATTAAATAAAATTTCACCTCTTTTAGATAAACGACTAACAATATTCCTCGAATTCTGATAAGGTAAATACATTGGAATCGGGTTTTCTAGTCCATTTTTCTTCAAAAAAGGAAAGAAACCCTTTGCATATTTTAATTTATTTACATTCTCTTCAAGTTGTTCACTCAATGGAAATCCATAATTTTTGGATTTTGGTTTATATGATCTATGAAGATCTTTTTTGAATTGATTGATAGTGTGATCCTTTTAAAAATATTTAAAAAATTAATTAAGTAAGAATTATTACAAAATGAATTGTGTAAACTTTCTCTCGAGCAAGTTCTCCTTCATATTTGTCAATAAAATCACGAAAATATAAATTTGTTTGTTTGATTGAAAATAATTCTTTATAGCTGAGAAATTTGAAAATATCAAGTTTTGTCTCTGTTGGTAAATAATTAAACATTTTTTCAGAGAAAATTTAAAATGTATCTTTACGTGATCTTTGACAAAGCCCAGTTAGATATTTATTGATGGAAGGAAAGGAAATTGAAGGAAAAAAATATATAAAAAACATTTCGCAGTTAACCATAATTTTTGTCAAGTTTAAAGTAAAAATATTTAATTTTTGCGCTACTTTTTACTAAATTAACTTTCATAGAGTATTTATCAAATGTGTAGTATTGAACAAATAAAAATTCTAAGGTGTATAAATAATTTCTATAGAAGTTAATATTAAGATGAAACAAAAATGATTAGAGAGAGGAAGTTTGGTGTGTTAAGAAATTATAACATTTCACAACTTCTTTGAATTTTTTGATTTCTCAACAACAATAGTTTTAATTTTTTGTAAGACTATAAAAGATTATTCATGTCAAAAATAATGTTTGATATTAGTAGATTACCTAATTCTATCGATTTAGGTAAATATCAAAGGCAAAAATGAAATAAATTATTTTTTAAATTAAATATTACTTTCCATCAAATATTAACAAAAGATTAAATTTTTATTTTATTTAATGAATTTGTGGAGGAAAAAATTAAGTATACATATTTTGTGGTTCTTCATAAATTTTGGAAAGTTCTTCATAAATTTCTTCATAATTTTTGGAAAATTTTTTATATTTTTGGAAAAAAATTTATTCGGAAAAATTTTTGTTCTAAATTTTTAAAATATTTTTAATTTTTCTGAAAATTTTTTTATATTTTTGGAAAAAAATTTTTTCGAATAAATATTAAAATTAGAAAATGGAAATAATTATTACTAGCGATAAATACAGTGGTGTGCATATGTTTAGAACCACTGGTTAAATTATTTTTATATTTCCAATAACTTTCTAAAACAATTCAAACGAGGCAAATTGCTAATACAATTTTTG